TAATATAAAAAAGAAATAAAGAAAGAAAGAAAGAAAAGGAGTGACAACGTCAAGGAACGAAAAATAAAAATAAAAATATCAAAAACGAAAAGAAAGAAAAACAAATTAAAAGTCGGTGGAAAAATAAATAAAAAATGATGGTGTGGTGTCCTCCCTCTATTGATGCTATTGTGGACTCTTCCACTTACTATAAAGTTAGTAGGAAAGTAAGCCTCGGGGAAGCAATGCCATAGCCTGCCCACCTGTCAAACTATCTGTCTTGAGCAGAGAGGAACCTGGACGAGGCTTTGCCGAAGGGCAAAGTTTCGTCCGGAGTGGTAGATAGGCCTTGAACCCGTTTATGCGGGTTCTAAGGAGATATTTTGGGCCGAGCCTAAGGGCTAGAGGAACCCACAATAAACCGGCCTTGTGCCACATACGACCCACGTAGGGGCGTGGGGAGGCGTTAAATATAGCAGTGCCATAACCTGTTCAACTGCCTTGAACAGAGATGAACCCGGATGCGGTTTTGCCGAAGGGCAAACTTTCGTCCGGGGAAGTACACAGGCCTCGAACCCGTTTATGCTGGTTCTAAGGGAATATTTTTGGCCGAGCCTACGGGAACCCGCGGTAAACTCGGCCTTGTGTCACAATATATCCCTCGTTACTGAACGCTGGTCCACCGACACACACTCCCAAGTCGTGTAATACATTTCTGTTGTACGTAGTGTTCAATATACTATTTATCTGCACCCTCTTGTTTTAATATTTCTTAACCAATTACTTGGTCACGACAAAAGAAGTAAAGGAGAAAGAAAGAAAAGACGAGAAAAAAATGTAGAAGATAAATGGAGAATGAAAGAGAAAAAAAGGCAATGTGAAAAGTAATGATAAAAACATGGAAGAAGGTAAAAGCGAAAAAAACAAATGAAATAAAAAAAGAAAAGACAACGAAAAATCAAGGACTAAGATAAAAAGAAAGAAAAAAAATAAGGAAAGCAAACAAAGAAAAAGAACATAGTAGTTAGGAAGATAACACTCCAATAAAGAATGCTGATCGATAAAAAAAAAAAAACGAAAAGGGAAAAAATATATCGCAGACATATAAAGAAGTAGTAATAAAGAAACATTAAATTGAATAAAACATTGATCTTCTCTGTAGTACGCATGCGCTGTAAGATCTCATTTTTACACAATACAAAACCAACCTTTAAGTTCCAATGCAGAACCAGGAAAAAAAACAAGCTCTCGTAAACAGTAATTGAAATAAATTTTACTGTTTGGAACGCTACTACTATATACTGACATATCTTATTTATTAATTCCCGTGTCTTCAGTGAATATATGCGTGATACCAACTGGTTTCTGGAAAGAATTAATAGACAGCATGCTGAGAGTAACTTACGCTTTTGAAATATAATTCCATTCAAGCTTGCCGACAAATGGATATTGTAAATGTGGAATTATCTTTTTCCATCCAAGAGACATTCGGCATTCATTGAAAGATCACTTAGTATTACAGTCAGTTGAAATTTATAAAATCTTTTCCTTTCAGGAAATAAGAATTATGAAGTCCATTAACCGTTATTGTTCTTTCTAGCACATATGGAAGTTTCTTTATTAACCTTTTCTTTAAAGCAGTGTGGAAAGTTCCAGCAATATCTCCCACATTTTGCGACAGTTGTCAAAAAGACCAAAGTTACTTCAATTCAGTCAGTTAACTGTGTGGGCAAAAGTCTGTTTTTCTTATGCTCATCGCCGGTCACCATAACGTTGTGGGAGATTCACTCACGTCATAACAACAGCAATTAGCCCTGTGTTCACAGGGATAAAACTGTTGCCGAGTTATTTTGCAGTGGAGGCTTGTATTTGTACTAAATCGGTACTAAAATAGGTTCGACGTACAAAACAGTAGGAACTTGGTATAATAGGTATTACACAGAGTAATCTTGTTGTGGTCGTATTCGACTAACTATCGTCCGACATCGACTAACCCTTGTTTATCTTACTACTACTACTTATATTATGTGGGAGAGTCTATTAAATATAGAATAGGTGCGTTTCACCATAACAAAAACATACTTGGCAGGAAATATAAATCGTGCAAAACATAACAGGAAAGTATTACAAGCCATATCACGGAGAAAATTTGGACACGTGTTGCCTGTACCAAGGTTCGCTGTGAAGAAATTGAATTTAACGTCATTTGGTGGGAGGTAATTCCATTCAAGCTTGCCGACAAATGGGTATTGTAAATGTGAAATTATCTTTTTCCATCCAAGAGATATTCGGCATTCATTAAATGATCAGTTAGTGTTACAGTCAATTGAAATTTATAAAATCTCTTCCTGAATTTAACGTATTTTGGCGGTATGTCCGTATTTATGACAGCAACTGTTTGTTTTTTATGTACGCTGGGACTATTTTCGTTATTTTAGATTTTTATCTATTTTTTTTTAATGCAACGTTTTTTTATGTTTTTGTTTTATTTTATTTATAATTTTCATCATCATTATTATTATTATTATTATTATTTCATAGTTTCTTTTGATTAATTTATAATAATGATATTCTTAAAAGTACCATACGTGAAACACGTTTGGGCGATCATGTCGCTTTTGATCAATTCAATAACTTGGCAGAAGATATTTTCGCAGTATGTTACATTTTCTTTCTGTGATAGAGTGGTTGCCAACCAAAACTATAAAACTCAGTCTGCCCTGCTATTTAACCCATAGCTGGAGGGATACCTTTCCCAAAAGTATTCGCTCTTAGGTGAATTAACGAACTCGACCAGAATCCGAATTCGCCTCCCCGATATCTCATTCCAAGCCGATATTAAAAGATTAACTTCACTGTTGTTTAATGAAAAGGCTATAGTTTTAATTCATTTGGTTTTTAAAATGACATCCCCCAAATAGTGACTTCTATACGCCCTACACAGTCACAGACGATTTATAAAGTTTTCCAACATCCGGAAGTTCGTGTTCTTAAATGTCTTCTGAGTGGTTTTCTTTTACGCCCTGAAAATGTAGCCGTGAAATTTTCGACTCACAGCAATATCGATTTTCTATCCGGAGCAGAATCATTCCAATGCAACATGAAATCAGCACATTGCAATTACAGATTCACCAGTCGTTAAAATAGTTTAAAGAGCATACGCACGGTATGCACCCGTTCAAGACGTGATGGTAGCTGTTGGTATCAGATAGAAAATGATAAGCTAGACCAAGACACCATTTTCACTTGCTAGTATAGTGCTAGTGATCTGAGGTTCACTAGCACTGCATAGATAACAATTTAATAAGTGGGAAGTATTTCTATCACATCTTGTATGATTATTTCTACTTTTACTTGTAACATGTACTACACATTTTCCATATTACTGCTTGAAATGTTCAGGAGAGGTAAGATTTCTTTTTATATGACTGAGAGAAGAATATTGCATTAGTAGCAGTAGTAGTCTCTGTTTACAAACTCACACTCTCTCCCCTGAGAGCTCAACCGAAATAATTTCTCAGAAGCATATATATTGTCATCCACAGACAGACTGTTTCGCAGTAACACAGCTCACAAGTTGTGACTGATAAGGATAATTCCATGGAGGATATTAATTCAGGGAGAGCTCAATGTAAACTAGAGATCATGTTTTAACGAAAAAAATTCACTCTGAAGAGATGAATATATAGTGATATTCACGAAATAAATTATAGCCCAAATGAAACTTTAAGGTTTACTTCTTGATTATTATCACACACACACACACACACACACACACACACACACACACACACATATATATATATATATATATATATATATATATATATGTATATATATATATATATGAATAATAACACGAAAAAATTAGCTGATGTAAAATTTTATTTTGTAACAATTAACTTACATAGAACGAAAATTTTTGAGAGTGTTGTTATCGATTCGTGCCAAAATATAAATCTGCGAACGAGTTTTTTTCAAATATCTCCATTCTTAGAATATATTCTACTTACCAAAGTCAAAGTCCATGGCTGTATTTTTAAATTAAAAGAAAATGTTGAAATTGAAAAAATATCTTATCTTTTAAATACATAATACGTAAATTATTTTCTGTAATTGTAAACAAAGCAGTGTAATAATAATTTATATAATTTCGTTTATTAGACATTAAATTTCATCCCTTATCTCTCACCCGATGTGACATTGACTTTCTAGATGAAGCGGACTTAAACTTATAATACGGATATATGAGCGGGCTTAAACTTATAATACGGATATAGGTATATAGCAATATGTAGATCCTTGTATTGAGCAAACTTTAGTAGTAAAAATTCTAAACATTTAAATCAAATGTTTAGTGTAATAGCGAGACCACGAAGTACAAAAATACAGACCAATAACATGACTACCTTTAATCCTTTAAATCTCATAGCAACAGAACCGATTAAGAAATGATATCAGTACAATGCCAAGGGATACTATTCGATAATGCTATTTGCTTGTCACACATGAAATGAAGCACTTTATAGGAAATTGATAAAACGCTTCTGAAATGTTAAATAACTAATTTATTTCGTTGAAATAGGCACCACGTTGATGACTGAGTGTTCTCCGACGTACATCTAAATTCGTGATCCCATCTTTTGATGTGATAAACAGTCCAAATGCTTCAATTACCTCTTCCTTATTATAGAATGTTTTATTGCGTATGCAAAGCTCAAAATGCTTAAATAAGTGATAATCATTATGAGAGATATCAGGTAAATATGGAGGATGAGGCAGAATTTCATAATTCAGGCTATGCAGTTTTTGGACAGTTGATCGAGAAGCGAGCGGCCGTGCGTTGACGTGCATCAAAATTGGGCCATCCTTATTCACAGGTCTAGGATGTTTCTTTTTCAATTTTTAGTGCATACATTCAATTTCTTCACAATATGAGGCTACTGTTATTGTTTTCCCATGAGGCAAGAATGAATGATGAATAACCCCTTTGAAAGACCACCATACAGTAACCATTAACTTTTTAGTAAACGGTGGAGATATTTGGTATTGTTTTGGTGACTAACCATTAGTCCACTCTCTTACAGTTGTCAAAGAGCATCTATTTCTCATTACATGTAATGATTTGATGCAAAAATAGTTCTTTTTCTTAGTTTGTATTCATACAGAAATATTACTCGACATTGTTTCATTGTAATCATTTTCATTGGGCTTATGAGTCACAAAAAAGAAAAATTATCTGGAAAGAAAAAGAATCAGGAATACGTGATTTTTTTTAATATACTAAGAAGTTTACTTCGTTACACGTCCAGATCAACAACCAATCAAAAAATGCGTCATTTCATGTGTGACAATCTCATATAAAGAAAAACAACTAAAGAGCCGATTATTTATTGGTAAAAAGAAAGCCTTGAAAACGTAGAGTCAATGATAGAAAATTTGAACAATGAAATTGACTTCGCTAAAGTTAAACTTTAAAATGCATATAAAAAAATGCAGAATGTTCAGTTTAATTTATCTGCAATGCAACGAAATACTGAAATATAAAGTTACGGCAACTTAATAATAGACCAAGGTCAACATGAACAGATTGACCTTTCAAAGAGATTATCAGTCTTCATAATGTCAATGAGTCTTTTCGATTTGAATCTTATAGAATTTTAAGAGCGAATATCATGGTTTCATTCATCAGAAGATTTCAATGGTCTGAGGAATTGTACAATTTAGGAGTTTAATGATGTCCCCTAAGGAGAGACATTTAACCGATTTCGTTATATAAGAAAAAGAAAGAAAGTCGGTAGAAGGTATAATATAGAACTGAGACTCAAGAAAGAGATAGATAGATAGATAGATAGATAGAGAGAGAGGGAGGATAGAAAAGAAGGAAAAGTGTCGACAAAAAGTAGGAAAGATTGATAGAAAGAGATGGTGGGGGAAAGTAGGAGGGTAAAATTAGAGAAATGGAAGAGGAAAATAGTTAAGAAAAATGGAGAAAACGTATAAAAATTAAAAAAAATGAAAAACGGGTAAAAAATGATTAGTAAAATATGACAAGGAAAAGACGGAGAAGTTTAAAAAAAGGACAAGTGATAGGATGAAATATTTGAGAGGAAAAGAGAGAATAAGAGAAAGAAAATGACAAAAAACATTAAGAAGAGAGGGGAAAAGAAAGAGAGGAAGCGGGGAAAATAAAAGGAGGAAAAGATTACGACTGGAGATGAGGAGAAAAAGAAGAAAAAAGAAAATGGAGACACAAACGACGATAACGACGCTGACGATAAAGAAGAAGAAGAAGAAGAAGAAGAAGAAGAAGAAGAAGAAGAAGAAGAAGAAGAGCAACAGCAAAAAAAGACGTTGAAGAAGAACAACAACACCAACACCAACAAGACGATAAGTAAAAGAAAAAGAAGAAATATTTGAACAAAAATAATAAGATTAATAGGAACAAAAATGCAGATGAAGAGATGAAGAATAAGAAAAGAAGAGAGTTTAAGAGGACAAAGACGAAGGGTAATTGTATTTAAAAAAGAAAGAGACAAACGACCAAATGAGTAGTAGTAGTAGTAGTAGTAGAAGAAGAAGAAGAAGAAGAAGAAGCAGAAGAAGAAGAAGAAAAATGTCGGAGATGACAAAGAAGATTGGTAAATGTGTTTTAAAAAGAAAGAGACAAACGACAAGAAGAAGAAGAAGAAGAAGAAGAAGAAGAAGAAGAAGAAGAAGAAGAAGAAGAAGAAGAATAAAATGTCGGAGATGACAAAGAAGAATGGTAAATGTGTTTTAAAAAGAAAGAGACAAACGACAAGAAGAAGAAGAAGAAGAAGAAGAAGAAGAAGAAGAAGAAGAAGAAGAAGAAAAATGTCGGAGATGACAAAGAAGAATAGTAAATGTGTTTTAAAAAGAAAGAGTCAAACGACAAGAAGAAGAAGAAGAAGAAGAAGAAGAAGAAGAAGAAGAAGAAGAAGAAGAAGAAGAAGAAGAAGAAGAAGAAAAATGTCGGAGATGACAAAGAAGAATGGTAAATGTGTTTTAAAAAGAAAGAGACATGCGTCCAAAAGAAGAAAAAGAAGAAGAAGAAGAAGAAACCAAAGAAAAGAAGAAGGGGAAGAAATACAATAACAAATGATGAGAAGAAAATAAGAATGCAGAGAATGATGGGAAATGAAAGAGGGAAAGAAGAGTAGCAAGGGAGAATATCAGATGTAAGAAATGAAAGCGTAACAAGAAGAAATGAAGACGACATCAAATATTGATGTAAAGATAGCAAGACCAAGAGAAAAGGCATGAAAGTGGAACTGGATACGAGAAGAAAAAAATCACTGGGAAAAAGACGGCGAAGCAACATGCAGAAGATTAAGAAACTGAAGGGTTTTCAGGAGATTAATGAAAGGAAGAAGAAGGAAAAGAAGAAATAAAAAAATGAAGCGACGAGAAAGAAGAATGTTAAACTGAGGGGAGGTAAACTAAATTCCCCTGAAAGTGAAAAGACAACAGCCAATATTCGTTCAAAGCTGTGTCGACATT